TGCCATTGCCTTGCCGGGGTGGGGGGGGGAAGAAAACCCAGGCCTGGAGGGATCTCTGGAGGTCACCCAGAGTTGGCCCAGAACTGCACACTCGCTCGCACACGTCCCTCTCGAAGCTCCTCCAGACAGGCTTGTTGCTCATTAACAGATCCCTCGTTTCTCATCAATAGCGGGAGGACCCCAGTCCTGGCAAGCAGCCGGTGTCCCGGTAAAGCCATGGCACGAATGCCTGGCTGCAGCTCCTCTCCCAGGATTCACGTGAGGACTGTGCCGGGAGCCAGGGAGCACTGGAGGCTGCTGAGCACCGACACTCGGCTCTAAGCATTCAGCAAGAAGCAGACGGCAGAGTTTCAAAGCCTGCCGACGACCCCGTCTCACTGTTTTTGTGCCTGCCAGAGGTTAAGAGGGGCAAAGACCCTCAGTGAAGCCCCCCTCGAGCCGGTTAGGAAACAGAGGACAAGCAGAGCTGGTGGGACGGGGCTGGCATGCTGCATGCATCAAGGTCGCCCCAGCAGCTCGCCTCTATCAAGCCCGAGAGCTCGCAGTGAGTGGAAGGACAAGCTTACGGCACCGAGGCCGGCGAGCTGTTTGCTCTTCCCCAGGTTTCCGGGGGAGGAAGGGGAAAGCAAAGCTCCAGCCCGCTGGGTTTTGCAATTGTTTGGAAAAATCCCTAGATTCAGAGGTGAGATAGTGCCGGGGGCAAGGGAGCACAGTGACCTTTGGGGACCAAAGGGACAGCCAAAAAAATCTGCCCTGCCAAAACCTGCCTGTGGAGGTTCAGAAACCCCCCCCACCCAGCGCGAGCATCACCCAAGGGTACTAGAAAAATGCTGGAAAGCAGGAGAAGATAGTATCGGCCTGGAGCCGAACAATGCGGCGGCGACAAACAAAGCGGGAAGGTATTTTCAAGCACAAACACACTTTCCGGAGAGCATGAAAAAGTCATCAGCGGTGGGTCGCGCTCGGGGAGAGGAAGCAGCGAGGGTGTCGCGGGGCAGGACAGGCTGTTCAAGGCAGCGATGCCGGCACGAGAAACCTGTTCATCATCTCTGGGCTGTTCCCAGCCCAGGGAGCAGCTTTGCTGTGCCCAGGGAGGGCAGGACCCGGCTGGTCCCCCATGGCAGCTCATCCCCTGGGTGCCTGCGGTTCGGTCCTCCTCCGACGATGCGGGGACCCCCAGCCCAGCTCCCTCTCGGCCGTTGCGTCCTCCCCCCGGTGCTTTGCAGCTCCGGGCACGCTGCCCAGCAGGACAAGCCTGGCACCGGGCATCCCCAGCTGAATATTTTTACAGCCAGTTCCTTGGGAAAAATCCGACTGTTCATTTACTAATTTTAGGGCAGCGAGTAATGGAGCTAAGCGCTACCTGGCACAAAGGGCACCGAGGGAGGTTTCGGCTGGTCGTGCCAGGGTAACGACGTCTGCGTGGCTCCAGGGTGCTAGCTCCAAATTGGGACTGAACCGTGTGGTTTTGGGAGACCAACCTCGCTCCACAGGGTGTAAATCCTGCTTGCAGGAGTCTCCCGATGAAGACAGCCAGCATCCCAGCTTGTCAGGCTGGGACGTACCGCAGCCCTCGCTGGCTCAGAAAGCTCCGTGTAATAAAGGTAGCATGGTTTATAACCTATATAAACCAGGAATTTGGCTTTTTTAAGCTGGGACCCAGAGCAGGGTCCTAGCCGCTCAGCTGTGATTTTACCAAGGGTCATGGGGTGATGCAGGGAAACTACAGAAAAAAAAACATCCAGAGCCTGGTTTAGGCAGAGAACAGAGCCTGAAATCCCAGGATCAACACGCCTCTGCCGGGCACAGGATCTCCTCGCAACGTTCCTGCCCTCGGGAACGCTGCATCCAGCCCCCGCCGTGCCACCACAGCAACACCCCGGGCTGGCGATCCTGTTACAGCTAGCTCCTGCCCAGGGAGGAGAGGACATGCCCTGAAATTTGAGTTTGCTCCATTCATCGTGTCTCGGAGCTGTTTGTTCCCAAACAAACTCCATTTAGTC